TCCGTGTCTTGCATCTGTATGACCTGCATTTAGACCATTGTCTGTCTGTTCGCACCTCGTTCCCAGACGGCGCCAAACGCTCCCCATGCGCCTCCTCACGGGTGGCCCCCTCCAATCTGTTGTGGGCGGGACTGTCTCTCGTGTGTGTCTTGTATACAGGAAACTTGGGGCTCTGCCCTCAGAGCTAGTACATGCTGCCTTGTGTATGTGCTGACTCTCCGTACGTATGTTAACAATAAACTTACGCTTTTGATCAGACAAAGACCTTTGAGTTTTCTCCTTCATTGGGCAGAAACTTCCTTAACAAAAGCACTCAAAAACAGTCACAACTTCATCCAAGAGCCAGACCAGGACAGAAAATCATCAATTCCCCCGTGACTAGATTTAACAGCAGTGTGTTGGAGGCATGGATCTATAATAATAACTGGATAAGGTCTTACTATCTTATAGCTGTCCGACCCATGGGCACAGGGGGTGTCCGTGATACTGCAGACTAAATTCACGTGGGCCACCCAGAAAAAAGTCCCATAGATCTCAATGTAAATTAAAAAAGCTTGAGCTCAGCTGTTCGGATTTTGTTGGGATTTTAGTGTCCCTTGTCATCCTGAACTTTTTTTCTCCCTAAATCCTTCGGTTTTCTTTAAATCCACATTTTACTGCCACAAACTCTGCTCGTTTCCTTCCCACTCTGACTTCGCTCTACCACTGCTCTGATCAGCAGCTCTGATTGGTCAGAGCGTGGCCGAGCCCCTCTGTGCACGTGCATGAGAGCCACACACGCGTATCTGGCGCAACGCATCATGGGAGATAATCCACTGCGCAGAACCTGGAGGACCAGACGATACCCAAATATAGCCAAGTTCCTCTGATATGTCAGCGCCTGTGAAGTCCCATGCGCTACTGAGCACAAGCCATTCGTCTGAATAGGGCGCCATCTTGAATCACCGGGGCGTGGTTGGAGAATTAGTGATTCCAGCAAAAAGAAAGAGCCGGGTCTCGGGTCTCAGGCCTCGTAGCATACGATTCTCTGATCCACACGTACTCCTCTAAAAGTGACTTATCTGCACACAATCCTAGAGTGTGCTACCTCACGTCTTTGGAGAACAATGTGATACAATCAGATACTTTTAAATTCCCACCATGCACCTGCAATGGGACGAGTGCCGAACATGAACGCAGAAGATTGATTGATTTCAGATTTGCTGTGGTTGGAGGAGCTGGACCAAGAGTTGAACATCCTCCTTTGGTCATAACTGAAAACTATATTTAAAGTAGTACTAGAATTGCTGCTAATGCTGCTATCCAGAATATATAACTACAATATGTAAGGGATAACGTATATTACGCGGGTCATTATCGGAAAATAAGTACCGACAGGGCGAAGCGGTCTGCTTCCGCCCTGAAGGTACTTATTTTCCGATAATGACCTGCGTAATATACGTTATCCCGCTTATTATACGGCTTTATACCAACAGAACACACAACATAAACTTCAGTCCACTTTTAGGAATGCCAAAAGGATTATTTAATGACAGAAAATAAAATAGTTCCCAAAGGCTTTCCCGTGGCTATGCTAGCAACAGTTAGGCTGGCAACAACTAGAACTCTCTTGAACTGCATGAAAACTGAACAAAGAATTCTGAACATCAGCGGTGAGTGACCCATACATAAACCTAACCTAAATCCATAATTCGATCCTCTGCAAATGTGTCCGAAAATGTGCCGGTATCTACTTCCGGGTTTTTTGGGATCGCCTTTTCTCGCATTACATCAGTGTTTTTGTCATGAAAACGTAAACGGAAAATTCTGAAAACTTCCGTGCACTTGTATTAAGACTGGATATGTATAAATTACTCTCCGATTAACATTTCATTGCGTTGATTGATTGACATTTGCGTTTATTGAGCGGCCGGAACTACTTCCGGGTTTTTCACGATCGCTTTTTGACGCAGAGAAATAGTATTTTTGTCATGAAGACAAGACCAAAAAATTCTGAAAATTTCCGTGCATGTGTGTGAAGAATGTATATGTATAAGTATTCTCCGATTAACATTTAAGTGTGTTGATTGAGCGTGGCTAGCTCCGGAGTGGCCGGAACTACTTGCGGAGTTATCCACGCATTTGAAAGACAAGCAGAGAGAGCGTTGCCATGGGCAGCGGTCATTATTGTTTTGAGAGGTCCGTTATAGAAAATAATGACCGGTAGAACGTTTTGAAATTACATTCAAATCAATGGAGCATTCTACTGCTGCTGTGAGGAGCCGTATAATAAGTGTTTATAATATTTCGGGTGTTCATTTTGACATGTTCAGATGAATTATGTTAAAAAACGGCTTAAAAAAAGTGGCACCTTATAACAAATGCTAGGGGGAGCCAAAATGGCGGCGATGACGTAGGGGAAGCACAGCAGCAGCAGACAGCAGTCTTGGCTGAATCTGTATGATGTTTCACTGTCATCTGAACAAGGTATAAACATATTTCCATCCGTTTTGTACATAAGAGTGTGCAACTCTTTTAACCTTTTAGCCTTATTTGTGAGATTCAAGCTAATTGGTGTTGGGCAAGTTAGCTAACTCTACTTGATATCATAAAACATGCTAACAAGGCTAATATTCGTGTTTACATTATGCCAGTCTCACTTTGGTTGCCTTAGATTTATTTACCACAATGTACATTGTAATATTCAAAAATGCTAATCAAAATAACTTGAATTAAATAAATATTTTACTTTTATGAACAAAAAGCTGCAGAAGTTGAAAACATAGACTACATGTGATGCAATCATTGATAAAAATGCTAATTAAACCGTTAATAGGTGTTAGCATTTATGGATATCACAATGTACAATGTGGTAAATAAATCTAAGGCAACCAAAGTGAGACTGGCATAATGTAAACACGAATATTAGCCTTGTTAGCATGTTTTATAATATCAAGTAGAGTTAGCTAACTTGCCCAACACTAATTAGCTTGAATCTCACAAATAAAGCCTAGTGTATACTTGTGCGGCGTGGCTTACGTTAGCGGTTGCGGTGGACCTACGTAAGCACAATTGATGTTATACTGGCGCGTTCCCCTTACGGAGTTTTGAGGAGAATGTTGTAATCCCACAACAAACCACATGAGGGCGATCACACAGGAGCGGTCTCATTTACGCTGCTACTTTGTCCTCTTCAGAACAACAATAACAAACAAATCTGTTTGAGCTCATTACACGTGTTTCTACTGTAGGTTTATGTGATAGTTTTATGGATTCATTATTTTATAAGTCATTTCAACTGGCGTGGAAGCATTATCTTAGACATTGTTAGTAGCAGGAAGGTACAAACTAGGATTTTGCTTTGCCTCATTGTGCAAACAAGTTATAACAGTTAAAAAAATAGATAAAATGGATGTAATAGATTTTCTGTAGTCCTGGATCTTACTCAGCTGCCTGGAATCATGTCTGTATATTTAAACTTGGTTGGTCAATCTGAACTCTGAATCCACAAGTCTGGGAGTTCTAACACTGGAACGTTTTCTGAGCTTCTAAGTGCAGCTTGAAGCTCCTTGTGCTGAGGGATCACAGGCTAATTCTTAGGGCACGGCTGGCAGTTTCCTAGAAGCCCCCAGTATGCTCATTAAGCGGGCAGGATACAGAGGGGTGAGAGGGTCCTGCTGAGCTCTGCCTCTCATCTGCCTCTTCATCACTGCACCAGGACTGCAGAACAGGCCCAGACCTGACTAATCGCACCCAGATTAGTGCCACTCATGTGCCACAGGAGGCTTCATTAGAGATAATCCCCACACATGGAAGTCACGCGTATTGGCCAGACTACTGTACAGCAAGACGAGATCTCAATTTATGCCATGTAAAAATTTCAAGACCTTACTATTTATTTTATCTAACTATTTATTTCTTCAAAACGGGGGACTTATGGGGATTGAAAACGGTACAAACCCTATTAATTTATTGTGTTATTTGACTCAATGCCTCAGTTAATGGACTCTCAGTGTGGATGTAAACACGGGGGTATAGTTAGATGCTAGTTGTGGTGGACTTCTTCAACTTAACCTTGGACTAAACATAACCAAGTTCAAGACTTAACGGACGCTGATGTTAAATTGTAACACATTTTACCACTTTACATCATGTCAAACTCATTCTAGTAAGGGCTGTGTGGCTGCAGTTCCAGTTTCCTTCCAACCAAGCAGGACACACTAAATGTCCACATATTTCATCACGCATTTTGTGTGTGTGTGTCCTATCATCCAAATCCGAATGAAAAACTGCAGCCACACATTCTTTTCTGAAACAAGTCTGACACCTCTTCTCTGCATGCTCCTATTTTCTCTTATATTAGACATCGTCTTCGTAAGTAAAAACATGATCAAGAAAAACTGACCAAACCGGATTCATTCTATTCCTAAACTTGGCTTTGGCATCCTCGCTCCTGATTGGTTGCTATGAGGTCATCCACTCCTACTATATAGTTAACTAATTGACTGCCATTGACGTAATTTGACATTTTAACACAAACGTTACAATTTATATATATTTCCTTTTGTATTAATCTTGAAAGTGGAATTCGTAATTGTGTTAGTGTGTGTGTTTCATGAAGAAAATAAGATTCATAATTAATTTGTCAAGTAAGATTATCTAAAAAGTGTGCGCATATAAGAAACTGATGCGGGTTTGAATGTTCAGTATTGTGAGATGTGCAATACAGAATACACCAGTCTTATCAAGGCCATCCTGACTCTCCGTACACAATACACATATCAAATGCATCTTGTCTATCAGTTTATGAAATTCTGTAGACGGACAAGAACTGGCTTCACACTAAAATATTCTTTATGCCCTCACTGTGACATTATTCTGAAAGCAGCAGTTTGTGTCTGTATTTGAAACGCCGAAGACACTTTATATACTATCGATATATTCAGTTCCTAGGCACAGATAAAACATTATTACAGGTAGCTCAACAAATGCTTGATCTATGTTTCCCAAACTCTGCTCACCGTTTTGCCAATGCTTCCTGAGTCTCCAAGAATACCAGCTCTGCCCTTGTGACCCTGGAGAAAAATACCATTAAAATCAGAATATAAATCTTATTATTGTTGACGATGATGACGATGTTGACGCTCACCTTGACACCTTGAAGTCCTTGTGGTCCTTTCGGTCCTGCTGGACAGTTAAGAGGACACTATTGTAGAAATAGGAAACACATTTATGTTACAATTAGGAATAATGAGACTGCACTGCAAACGGGAAGAGTTCTTACCTGGAAATCTGCGCTCCCCTCTTCTCCACCAATGAACTTCCCAGGTGGACCCTGTAGTTGGAACACATAATTGTAGTATTTATTCAAAACATAGTATAGAGTTATGCTATATTTGATAAGCACCATTGCATGGAGAGTATTATTGTATTTATATTGTTATAATTAACGGACAGATGTGGCACGTAATTTCAAATGTTCCACACAAACTGTGCTTTTTAAAATTGTGTTTATACAAAGATACCAATGGTTGAGTGATTGTTTACTGCTTATTCTTTCTATGGTTACTTTAAGTTATGGAGGTATTTTGACCAAAGAATAACTTGTATTTAATGTGAGTTTTGGTATCTGTTTCTGGTATTCTTTTGAGTACAGTTATGTTTGAATTAAATAATGCCCTCCCACATTTCTCTTTAAGGTTTAAGATCTAATCCAGATCTCAGAGCTTGCAGAGCTTGAAGGCTGAATGTTAATCACTCTAAACAAAACAAGGCCTGGAACACAATCGTAAACACATGGGTAAAAGTACTTAAAAGCGGTATTTTTATGCTAAATATCTCTCTTCTCGAAATAATGACTTACTGGTTTTCCAGAAGGACCAGGAAGGCCAGGAGCACCAGGAGGACCCATCAGACCCTGAGAAAGACAATATGGAATAGAAGATTGTACCGTGCATTTGAAACAGTAACAGAAATGAAATAAACGTTTACCTTAGGTCCAACTGGTCCAATCTCACCAGGAAGACCGATTGGCCCAGGAGCACCCTGTTCAAACAAAATCACATGTTTAAAATAAATACAACAGTTGTTGTGATGTCTATATTACTACTGTACTAGTGTACTTACTGATAGACCAGGAAGGCCCAGTCCCTGTTTGCACAAAAGAGAACATTATGATAAATGGAACAAGATCATCAATATCTCAATATTCTCAATATTTGTTACCATTTATAAAATTAAAACCTATACTGTGTCAAAAAATGAGCAAAAATCATTCATGTGAAGCAGAGACAGGACGTAACCAATGCCGTTGCACTGAAGTAGACATGGCTGAAGAATGCTGCAAATGATGGACCTAGAGCACCATCTAGTGGACACACGTGTATAACCTCTCTTGTGCTGGTTTTGTATGATTTGTGATAATGAGGTGAACAGCCGTGTGAAAATTGGTGACGATAAATTAATTTACAAAAATATTGAAGAAATAAGTGGCCAATTAAGTAGTAGGAAGTTGCTCTAGAGGCTGCCTAATGACACCAGGAGGGTAAAGTGTGTTTGTGAGAAACCCAAGTTGGCTTTAGAAGTTTTCTAAAATGATGTGAAATTGTGGGTATTGTGCTTCAATCTAAGACTTTGAGTGATGCTGAGATGGAAGGATGGGATACTCACAGGAGCACCAGGCTCTCCAGTCGGCCCAGGTTGACCCTAGAAACATTTGACATTAGTAACAAAAAGTAATGCAACAAATAAATTGAGAGTTGAACACTTGCCTTAGGGCCTGGACTTCCCACAGGCCCACGATCCCCCTTGGCTCCAGCTATACCCTTTATGGAGAGTCAAGAAAAACAGATTACTTTTTTAGATGTACTTGCAGTGGTCTGACTATTGATCAGTTACAAATAATGTAAACAATATACTGTATATAATCTATGATTGTTCAAGTTTGCAAAGAAATACACATGGTGCCTTGAAAATTTATTCATGCCCCATAAACCGGCAGCAGTGAGCCAAGGAGTGAATATAAAGCACAAAAAATTATTTCTGTTCAAAATACTGATTGGTGGGATAGCACTCTAACTTCTTAGCAAGAAGGTCCTGGGTACAAATCCCGGTTGGAACAGGGTCTTTCTGAGTGGAGTTTGCATGTTCTCCCCATGTCTGCGTAGGTTTCCTCCGGGTGCTCCGGTTTCCCCTACCATTAAAAACATGCACACTAGGTAAAATCCTCCAGCCCGGGTAGTCCTGACCAAACAGAATATCAACATCTGGAGATGGGTTCCCGGGCGCTGTACTGCTCCTGACGTAAGCCTTAGTGGCATCAGGATGAGTCAAATGCAGGGGGCAAATTTTCCTACGGGGACAATAAAGTGCATATTTACATGGTATTACGTTTTCAAATATTTTGCAAAAGTTTTTAGATAATGCCGCAGATTCTCAATTGAAGAGGTTTATTTTTTGACTGGGATATTCTAAGGTATATTACATTAAATGTTATGTTTATTTTGTTATTTGTGGTTTTATGATAAGGGAAATTGTCCTGATCCAAAACAGGTTTAACAGCAGATATAGTGTGATGGAGTGATTAGTCCACTGCACACAGCTCTTTGCATGCAAGCGCAACTTTGTTCTCACATGACAAAAGTATCTTCCTGAAATATAGAGATGATCCTGAAAGTAGAGATTCCCCCAGGTGAGCTGTGGATGCATGCACTTCCTCCAAAGTTACCACTGGCCTCTTTCTACATCTCTGGTCAGTGCTGCTCTTGATAGTTTGGTTGCAGGTCTTCCAATGTTCAATTCATAGATGTTGGCTTGAACAGTGCTCTGGGACATGTTCAAAGACAATATTTGTATACCTCAAACATTTTTTTTACTTCTCCACCACTTTATACCTGACCTGTCTTAATGACACTGTCAGGGGCTGCCAACTGTTCAATCTCTACATGCCAAAGGTCACGTAATACACTGCACCAATGTGTCTTATCACATCTACACAAATGACAAAGTCACCTACAGATTAAAGATTTTAAACACCAAATCAACCATTTTTTTACTTATCTTAAAAAAATATAGCGTCTTAAGTTGAAGATTCTTATAAGTGCGGAAAGTTTTGCTTTTAGACCAAAGTAACAACCTGATCACTGGACTCTCCAAAAAAGCCGTAAAACAGCTGCAGTATATTCAAAATGTTGTAGCTCGAGTCCAAACAGGAAGTATGATCACATTAGTCCAGTCCTCAGGTCTCAGCACTGGCTCCTCTGGCTCGAAGAATAAAATTTGGAGCAACTCTGCTTGTGTGTCTATCCAAAGTACACCCAAGACATGTCTGTGCCCTATAAACCGACTCGTATTATGAGAAGCACAGGGACTGGCCTCCTGCTGGTGCCCAGAGTCAGGACTAAACATGGGGAGGCAGTATTTCACATTTATGCAACAAAAACCTTGAACCTTGATAATGTGAGACAGGCTTCTCCTCTGACAATTTTCAAATCCAGTTTAAAACAATTCTGTTTAGTTGTGCGTACATTTGAAGGATTGTATTTGTCCTTTTATTTTATTATCTATACTTGAATGTGTGTTGTGTGATAATTTATGAATTTGTTGCTTTCACTCATGTTTTTTATGAAGCTCTTTGAGTTTTCTTGTGTATGATTTTAGTAAATAAACTTGCTTTGCCTGTTTAGTGTCCCATACTCTGAACAAACCTCTGAGGCAAGAAACCTCTAAGTGTAATGTAAGTAGATTTCTTGGGTGGACTCAATAGTTAGGTCATCAATTGATCATTCATCAGTCATCAGGAATTTCCTGATCTGAAGACAATTGTTTGCACTCAGAGAAGACTTTTGCAAACACTACTGTACAGTGTATTAAAATGTTAATGAGGGATGAATACATTTTCAAGCCACTGTGTACACAAAAACACAAACAAATGTAAACAATGGTCAACCTCATACGACAAAGACAAACATTACGTATGTTAAGTTCTCAAAATATGAACTTATTAGCACAAAATGTTAATTAGCATCAAACCCATGACATCGCTTATGATCATATATAGTAATATGTTTAATTGTGTGCATGTAATCACACCAAAAAATCAGATCTTATTATTGGGTTATAGTTGTCTAAGTGTACTGTAGATAATTAGGATTACCAGATTCCAGAGCGGATTAAAGACTAAACCTCTGGGGAATGTCGGGTTTTGGAGCGAGGCTTTTTAGGTTTGTGACAGCTTCAGAAAGCAGGGGTGAGTGCATGTATATCATATTAAAGCTACAATTAACATACAGCAATGCCATTCTCTCCTGGTGATCCATCCACACCGGGTTCTCCAGGCTCCCCTTTCTGTCCCTGAAAAAATACACACAATACAAACACAATCAAGCAAATAGTATGAACAATTAAATGTTGTTTTTTCAACAATGAAACAGACTTACAGGAGGCCCTGGAGGCCCAGGAGGTCCTTTTTCACCCTGACGGAAGACAGTTTACAGGTTACAAGTTGGATAATACACATACCATGGTCTAGTTGTTCCTTGGATTTTCTAGCCAGGGGTTCTCAAACTTATCATTCAGGTGCCCCTTAAAGCTTGTTTACAGTTTATTTTATGTTTCAGTTTAGTTTAGTTGTGTATTTATTTGTTTTTATACTATTTAACTTAAATCTTATTTGTGTGTGTGGGATGATAGGTGGAAATATTGTCTCCAAATCAGCCCCATTTGTCCCCACTTTGACAGACACTGTGTTCGACAAATTATCCACAGTGGTATACAAATGTGCGTTTGAGATGAAATACAATCAAAACATATGCATTATGTCACAAAATGTCATCCTCTGTAAAAGCTATCTCGTACAAAACATAAATTACTTTTATATGAAGAATCAGGAGCTGTTCTGGCCTTCAGTGTTTGTGCAAGCTGTGTGTCATTAACTCTTTACATCCCGAATGTATCACATTACTGTTAGAAACTCCTGAGCCCAGGTCCCTCTCAAAGAGCTCTCTCTGTACTGGAACAGAGCCCCATTGTGTACTGTGTTTTCTTAAAACACTACCCTCTAGTGGTGAGACTTTAGCATTACAGACGGCTGGTATCAGTCCTGCACAAAGTGAACCTTTGTAGCCAACCTGTTGGGCACAGAGCTATGGATACTCACATCGATGCCGTCTGACCCAGGAGTGCCAGAGGGGCCTGGAGGACCGGGCTGGCCCTGGGGTCCTTGTGGACCTCTCTAAAAACAAATGAAAAACAAGATCTACTTATTGAAATCAGTGGAGTACAAACATCAAGCTATAATGCATGAAAGTGTTTACATTCACAGGATATGATAATGACACTACAAGGACATCCTTCACATTATTGTTGCATACAAAAACATCAAAGCCTTATTAGTGAATAATGTATTAGTTAAACTAAAAACATTAACTAAGGAAACAATGTTCTCATGTGTAAATAAGCCTTAACTTCAATATTCAGTGAAAAATACTTGATTCCCTAATATGCATATTGATACAGTCTAATTGTAATAGTTTCTTTTTTCATTGAAAAGGTGAGTGATGAAACAGAAGACAGACAAGGAATGCAGAGGGAGGGGTCATGTGACCTGCTCTGTTTACCTCCTTCCCTCAACACCCCCTACTGTCCAATTAGACATCTCCAAATCCTCTGATCTCGTAAATCCATTGGGATGAAAAAATATAAAAACGTAAAAAGTAGAAAACCTAATGAAAATAAATTCCTCCTACATCCAAGCTGTGAAGGTCTGTGAAAAAGGTCCAAATGTGTATCGTAGTCCTCGTCACAAATTGAAGAAAGATTGAAGTAGACACAGATCCGTCTTCATAAATAATCCAAAAAAATAGTAATCCATCATATTCCCAGACTCCAAAGGCTTACATTGACCAACTACACAAACCCTACAGAGGGTTGTACACCTGCAACGTTTCAAGGAACCAACATTTATCATCACCAAACTTGATCAGAACTTTAAGCAGGTTTTCCCATTCTCATTTCTCCCAGAGAACTCACCACTTGGGCCAGAGCCAGGCACAGGGCATGCAGCAGGACCCAGGTCTTCAGTAAGGCAGACGGAGCAGCCATGGTCCCAGTTTGGCCCTGTTCGTCTCTCCTCAGTTTCCCAAATTGGCGCTGGTTGCTCTTCTATGTGCTGCCTTATTCCACTCCGGGCCGGCACACTGCAATGCTGGAGGAGCAAAGGGGGATGGGGGATGTGTGCACTGCCCTGTAAAAAAAAGACCCACTCAGAGAGGACTGGGGAGACAGGGCAGGATGGGGAGAGGGGAGAGAGGGTGGAAAGGCACCATCTACAATAAATCAGGGGATTAAAATTAATTTGTAATTTGTATTAAAAAAAACATTCTATTGTATTATTGACATTGTGTTATTGACATCCTAGCACTTAAGAGGAAACACTTAAGAGAAAAATAGTACAATAGACAAGCATTCTGGAACTACCATCACTTAGTCTACTGTATATACAGTATAGTTTCACATGGGCTGATTTATGGACTGTCTGTAGCTGGGGAAAAAGGCAAAGGGGAAAAGGTACACTTATTTTAGTTTATAAAACATTAATGGGATTTATATAGCACCATTTACAACTCCCTAAGTACTTCATAGTGCAATATAAATATTGTACAACACATCTGCTACTTGTCTTCCCACCACTACCAACCACCCTCACGCACTTTCATATTCGGCAATGTGGAAGTGTCTAGCCGAAAGAGACAACAAAAAGTCTCCAAAGCTTTTATCACATGACACATGAAGAGTGGGGAAAATGATAAGTTCCTTGACCAATCATACTTTACACAATTACATGACACATTCACACCTCAATCTGTTGGATGGGAAACCACTATAAAAAAAAAACTATTTCATCACATCAAACCTGTCAAGATTTCATTGGGGCTTCCACCTTTCTTCTGCCATTTCCATGTGATCCCTTTTTTTCCCCAGCCAATAACATAATTTGAAACCAAGCCAAATATAAATTCATTCTAATCCTTACTGAACATTTAGTGCCCTCTAGTGTCCAATAACCAAACAAGCCTCATTCCCACAGTCATCAACAGGAGCGTTGAAGCTGAAGCTCTATGTCATGGGAATTTTCGTAAATGACCTGATAGTGACCCCTATAGCACAAAACACACATTGCACCAAAAAAAAATGCAAACACAGATATGTCCACTAGATGTCAGCAGAGAACCACCGGAAACTAGACAAGCAGTTACTATGGAGACTGCAGTAAATGGGGATGGCACATTTGGTCTTCTCCAAAATGAAATCTGGACTGTGAATGCTAACAGGAAATGACTTTTTTTTAAATTGAGATTTATGATGTGAAACGAGCAACACAACAAACTCCTCATAAACACCAAACAAAGACTCGGCCAATAAGCATTAATCACAGTTTGAAATTATCAGACTTTTTGCAAATGGAAATAGTTCAGACAGTGAAGCCACAATCCTTGTTGTGGAGATTAACTTTCAATGCTATCTTTTTTGGTAATGTTTGGTGTGCAGTGACATAAAATACTGTATGGGCTCCCACTGCTGTAACCTCGGATGATCTGGGACATCTATGAACATTGGTCATGCTGCGACCTCATGGACCAGGCGTGTCAAACTCAGGCTCGTGGGCCAAATCCGAGCCACAAGACCATTTTCAGTGGCCCCTAAAATGACGATGATATTATCATCTTGCCGCGTTGATGGTTATGGGCTAACAAGGCATGTACTTTTATTCTAAAATTTTAACCCAACACATTATTCAAAGTTAAATAATTTCCAGAAAAGTCACCAGAAAAAAATGTGAATCTCATGTCAAATAACAGTCATGACAAAAAACCTTCATATTGAAAAAAAAAAAACACATTTAAGAAAAGTTAATCCCTTCTATTCTTTCGGCCCCCGACCAGTTTCATATTTTTATAATTCGGCCCCTGACCACAATGAGTTTGACACCTCTGTTATAGACATATGGCTCCTGTTAGTTTGAACACAGAAAATGCAATTTTCTGTGATGAAAATGAAAAAAATGAAATGAAAAGAACGGGAAAGCTCTATTTTGATGAGGTAAATAACCATATGTGCAAAAAGTGTGACAAAACAGAATGGATAAACATAGTTCTAGCACGTAGGTGTTGGGGGTATAGCATTCTGGTGTGATTAAACAGGGTCTGTCAGCCTGCAGAGTATATTGCAACTTCCTTTTTCTCCTGACAAACAAAGTCAAAAAAGGAGTGAAAACACAGCTCCAACGTCAGAAACATTCACATATGTTCTCCTGAGTAGTTTTGACCAAGCTTTATAGACCACTACAACTGACAGGTTGACATATCGGCATAAGAAAGATGGGTCAAATACAGGGGACAAATTTCCCTGCAGGGACGATGAAGTTTTCACCATACATCAGTGTTCCCCAACCTTCTTGAGCTCTTCCACTGAACAAATCAAGCTAAAACGTAAATAATACATGAAACTCTGCAGCCTTTTCCGACACCGAAAGTCATTCTCATCAAAGTGTGAATTACATAGAATTCCAAAAGCACAAAAAAAGTCTTTCTAATCTTCTCACCTTATTTTCATTTCACTTTATTTTGAACAAATAGGGGGTCATTGGATCATTTCCAAAGACACACCACACAACATTTCAAGACACTGTGAGAGATTTGGTAAACAAAGGTTTTATTTTTGGTCAAAATAAATGTTTAGGCATATGACAAGCGATGCATCGGATAGCCCTCCTCCTCTGCAACCACTGCTACACAGGCTACTGCTGCTACAGGTGTGTCCCATTCTGTCACAGGTCTCTCTGTGGTTTTGTGGGTTGTACAGAGCACAGTCAGAACCATTGACTTCTCATGTTCAGTGTCCGAGTCAAGCCTTTACGACTGCCGAAAGCATTTTCAACAACCACTCGCGCTGTGCTGAATTTTCTATTAAATACTTGCTGTTAGTCTGTCTCTCGGTGTCCTGAAAAGGTTTTAGGAGCCAGTTCAGCAGGGTCAAGCAGAGTCCCCTCCGAGGTAATAACCTGCTATCACCGATTTTATAATAACTCCATGCTCCGCACCAATGTTACTACGCGTCGCACGTAAATGACGTGGTCTGGCAACGCTGAGGAGATACTAGGAGGCACTATTTTTAATGGAAAAGCACGCGAACTGGACCGTGCCGTATCGTGTATAGTGTTGAACCGTATCGTACTGATACTGTGGAAAAGCGCCATAACATTCCATGGCACACTGGTTGAAGAACACTGCCTTAAATAATGCAGACCTGCTCATTTTCCAAATTTAATAATCACCCCTGGCCTGTAAGCTCATGTTAACATTTTGGAAGGCATCCCAGGTATGTTGACGCTTGGAATCACAACACTGATTCCTCTTCATTCATTCACTCCACAATTGGCTGTGATAGAAGCGAGGCTACAGGAAGCTCCACCTTCATTCACTTCACTCACTCAATTCATACTGCTGCTGCTTTTGGGCGATTAGGGAACCTGCTCAAACACTTGCAAACTCAACAAACAAAACCCATGACCTTCTAGTCAAAAGACATGAGCTCTAATCACTCAACCCCCGCATTTGTCTTCTTCCTGAGATTCTTTTCAGAAGTGCTTTTTCTTGCTACTCCTACACTCGATGCAGAGTGAAAGATGCTGCTGGTGGGGGACAAAGGTGCTACCTGATTTGATCCTGATGCAGTGGCGAGACCAGACATGTGGTAAGAACACTTTCTGAACTGTAGGGCAGACAGAACTATGAAGCAGAGTTATCTATTCACTTTCATCCCCTATATTCATCCATTTTGAGGTCAGGGAGGCGCTATGTTTGTGGTGAAAAAAATAGAAACCACAAAAAAAAAAATTCACTGATCAGTCGTTGACCCCAGTCTAGGGCGAGGTTCCTAAGCAACACCTCATACTGCAAGTGAAACGATTGATGTGTCACACAGCTGCAGTGAAGGCTGTTCAGACCACAGGGTTTTATTACAATACAAGCCATTTTCTGCAAACAGCATGAAATCATGGTTTTGCTGTGGACAATTTGAATGTAAGTATGTATGTTTGCAAATTCACCATGACTATGCACATTTTGGATGAGAGTTAGCACTAAATCTCAAACCCAAGTTTCTTGCATTTAATAACACTCTTGCTGCTATAGGTCCCTGCAGAGACACTCTTCACCATTTGTGTTGAGCCAGGGAGGAGCTCTCAGCAGGAGAAGAAGGTTGAGAGGTTGGGAAGTGCTGAATATTTCTTTGAGTGACTTGCCAGAGAGACTATTGCCTTTGGCAACATCTTTCAGACACCTTGTTATTGTTTACCGGTGCGGATTTGGCGCGTGATGGGGCAGATGGGGAGGCCTCCTTAACCTAGTGCAGCTTTAAACCATCTAATTTTTGTTGAATATCATGAACGCTACGAACGCTTTGCATGTGGCTTGTGGTAGGCAAGAGTTAATACTATTAGTGACATCACTTTTGGGGCTTCCTATCATTGTGAAGCAGGATTCACCAAGTGTTGGATTGTTCACCCACAAATAGGGAACGTGAGCTGGGATTAGACGGTTGTGAGACAGGTAAGATTACCTTATTGACGATGTGTTGTTGCAGTAATAAATGACAAATAACCAAATAACAAATGTAGCCCACTTTTGTCAGGACGATCAAGAAAGGAACGGTGCAAACTGATTATACTATATTTGTTGAAAGGCTCCCGACTGTTTTGGGAAAGGCTGACAGAAATTCAATAGAATATCAAGAAAATCAGACTTTAAGTTGGGACTGTGAACACACCAGGCTTTTCACTGAGACTATGAAAACACAAAAAAATGGATGTTACTTCAACAAGTCAGATATGACTGATATATGTGTACAGATAGCCAGCTAATTAAAACTCAAATTACAGAAGTGGAGTCAGCAGTGGCAGAGATGTTTTTGGTTGTCAAAATGTGTGCAAAATAAGCATTTCATATTTTTGACATAAAACCAAATTTGTTTTGAGGACTTAATTTACAAAACAACAGGTGCAGATTAATAACTTGTAGAGTGATGTTTATGCCCAAGGCCTT